CTGCGTTGACGGCTTCGGGAGTGATCTCTTCGATGTTTGAAGTTGTTGTATGCCGGTCGTGCCTTTAATTCTGCTACTTCGAGTTTTAGTTTCCTTACTGCATTAATAAGTAATTGGTTGGCGGCGGCTTGAGAGCTGGCGAGAGCTTGATGTGGCTGGGTTTCCATATTTGAATGATTTTTCGGGCAGGGATTTATCCGGATTCCTTTTCTTCAGAAGTTTCTTCGTGTTCTGTCGAGGGTCACCACTTTAGGCGTTGAGACGTATGGAGAGAATAATAGACTTTTCACTTGTTCAAGGAATGTTTTATTGAAAATATTTACAGTTATTTATACTAGAAAATTGATTACATATAGAATATGAATAACCAGCACATTAAAACAGGCGTTTTGATTGGTCGCCGCGCATACGGTTTCGTCTTTAATGCGCATGCGTTTAATCGGTATCACTGCGCATGCGTTAACCGTGGTTATATCTGTCACTCCAGCGAGCGCATCGGTCTTTTGGATCGCGCGCGCCGGGGAGTGACAACATCTTGAAAACGCTGCTAACTGAAGAAGAAGAAGACTACGTCGTGGCGAGGGGCCGGCATCGTGTCATCAGTGTGTTCCTGTTTCAATGATGAAAGCGTCACCAAATCCAGCGGCGAGAACGTCTTTATAAATATACTATTGTTATTAATATGTGCTTCCGTTTCAACGATGAAAGCGTCGCCAAATCCATCAACGAGAACGTCCTTATAAATAAATAAACTATTGTTATTACTTCGTGTACGTGCTGCTACAAAGGTACCTATAACTGTCGATAGTATCAATAGTATTAGCACTTTCAATAGTATTGTTTAAGATGTGCTATCGATAACAATCGATAGTATTAACATGTGACGATACTATCTATATTCTGAATAGTTTTCGAGGTCAACTATTGATAGTTAAGCTATCTATCGATAGTCAAACTATACTAATATAAAGCCCTGATACCTTGTAATAGCTCAGGACAGGTTTAGAAAAATATTGTTTACCAATTTGACACTCACTTTGGCGCATAACATTCATTGATTCATTGTTATTGATATAATTATGTTTTTGTTTTAAATTATAAAACATATATTTTTTTAAATTATTCAGTTTTTGAGTCGTCGTCTTAAGACAATAACAGCTATTCTTAAAAGTGTATTATCCCCAAGGAACCCTCGTGGTTTTAAATATTCATCTTAGTATCATCCGCAGCTCTCAGGATGAAGTTTGATACATATTGGATCTGTTGCATTCGGCCACATCGAATTTACAAAAATAGTTTCGTAAAACTTTTTGTGTTAGTGATGTCCAGCACGGAGGTATGGAGTTAGATCAAAGCCTTTGATTTTTTTAGAAATTGATCACTGTTTTCTTTAGCGGAGTTATTTACAATGAAAATGTGATATCTCGCATCATTTCACATTAGTGCAATTCTTAATCCCATACATACAAGCTGTAAACACTTGAACTATTTTCATTTTATTTTCAATGAAAATATCAGCAGCATCTGTTAATGACGCAAAAACTGTTTGATATTTTTCATTTTTAGAAAATAGTTGAAAAAGTTTCACTTTTCCTTTATTATAAAATGCTGTCGTGTAATCAAAACCTATAAACGTGTGGAAGGCGGGAAGACTTTGGCATAGCTTGATCCCTAACTTCAATACTAAATCAGTGCAATTAATGCAATCAACGAATTGATTATTATTGGTCTTTTTTGCTGTCGAACTGGCAAGCCAAAATTCAGAGTGCATCAGTTTGTGCATATTTCCTAACAAAATAATCAAAATGTCAGTATCAGAGGCCTTAATTAAAATTCTTGATGCTCGTTCTGCTTTAGAAGCATGAAAATAATCCTCATATCCTCTCATATCCTCATAGCCTCTTCATGATAATATTCATATTTAGTTTCTTCAGTTTTAGCTAACTTTAGTACACAGTTCTTAAAAGTTTCATCATTAAAATCAATAACATTATCATCCGAAGCACATAAAAAACACTTTTTAGCTATTTTTTTCAACAATAAATAGAAGCACGTATTTCCAATTGTAACTGTTGCTGTTATGCTCTCTTCTTTTCTATTGTAGGTACATGACGGTTCCTTGGGACCTATCAGCCGCACATTTTCAATTGCGGAAATAGTTAAATTTTTAAAATTCGACAACTCTAATTTAGGACTGATTTTTCTCAGGCAAGCCTATACCACCTTGTTTAAAATTAAATAATCTTTATTTTAATTTAAATTTGATTAAATTATCAGACCGGTGCAAAATGCTACTATCGATGGACCTGTTTATCCCTGGCAACGCGAGAGTTGTGACTGGAAAAGAATAGGCAACCTGACGTTTTCATATTCTATGGGCTTCATACTTTCCATTGGTATGGAATTTATCTAATAATCAAACCGATGAAATATCTTTAAAAAATCTCTTTTTAATTATTAATCATATCCTGGATTAAAATGTATTATTAACCATATGTAATATAATTATTGACATATTAAATTGAATAGAAAAATATGTTTCATCAAATAAGCATCTCAGTGAAGGTCACTTTTTATCGGGATCTTGACTATACAGGGTGACTGGTGAATTACTATCAATATTTAAGGAGAATACTCGGTACGATTCTCATTCGAATTATGTAAAAAAAATAGGTACTTAATTTTTGACCAAATTTCCGTATAAATAAATAAAGTGTGGACACGTTCCAAGTGTGGACGCGTGTGGCGGCGTGTTGATACAACACCACGCCGCCGCACGCGTCTGTGTGTGTGTGTATACCTAATCTGTAGGGTGTTCACACGATGCGCAATTAATTACATAACTTTTGGTTAACTTTACTTAGAAGTTTATTAATATTTATGTTATATTAATTTTTATTTTGTCATATATGATCGTCAAATATCACGTCCTCAAGTATCGATAGTAATTCACCAGTCACCCTGTATATTTATAACTAAAAAGATACTTTTTAATGATACTATGTACAAAAGATTTTGAATGTTACTACTGGAATTTATAAACTGCATTGTACTCATCAAATAATCTACTATGTATATAAAAATAAGTCCGGTTTTCCTTCCTGACGCTATAACTCCAGAACGCACGAACCGATTTCCACGGTTTTGCATTCGTTGAAAAGGTCTCGGGCTACAACCAAACCATCCGCTTTGTGTTAACGTTAGACCAAACAACAAAAAAATTGGTTTACCAAAGGGCAAAGAGCACTTCAATGAAACGGATAATTTGCGGAAACTTCAGTATTTACTTTGGATTCACTTTCATTCACTTAGAGAAGTTCAACTAAATAACACTTTATTTTTGTAATCGAAATAAATTCATTACTGTTGTGAAATGAAATAATTTATTTCCTTTTCAAATATAAAACATAAAAAATTCTTCATCTTTTATCACCAAAAGAAATGTTATTAATATAAGTATACGAAATGTTATTAATATTTAAAACGAACCTTTCTGGTGGCGAAACGGAGTTCGCCGTGTTTACTAGTGTAATTATAAGTAGAATACTATAGAAATTGTAAAACATCTAATACTGGCCTTTAAATTCTTTTTAGTATCTATAAAATCACACTGTAGATAAAAAGTAGCAGTAACTATAGACATACATTTAGTTAAAGATTGAACTTTTTTTATAATCTTAAACTTGATTGATGAATTTTTGACTGTTACATAAATCATTAAAATATTAAAGTTTTCGACAACAGTAATACCCTTTTTTGCATTTTCGTTCTTCTTACTATCATATGATACTGTCGTAGCCAGAATTTGTAGCAATTGTGCCTACAAAAGAAAAGTTGAATATGGAGGAAAACAACATTTTAAATCTTAGTTATATTTATTCATGGAGTTTAACAGAAACAAGCAAACTTACAAATTAAATTGGTCTTAAGTCAATCACTTAATACACAGTTACACATTCTTTGTACCTTTTGACATTGATTAATCTTAGTTTGTTTCAAATAAGTTTTATACCCTGCATAATCTAATTTATAAACATATATATTTTCATTGTGAAAATGTTTATATTTATTGTTATCAAGGTAACAATCAGGACTTAATTAGTTTGCAATAGTTCCAACTATTCTACTTATAATATAATCATCACAAAGTGAAAATTATTCTCAAAAAAATGTATGTTTTGAACTTATCACACACCATATAAAGCAAATATTTTTTGTTATCTTTATAAGTTTAATGATTAATAATGGTAAACACATAATAAGAGATTCTTCATCAAAAACAACTGAAAGTCAAACACAAGATGATTGTAGAAAAACTGAAATAAAGTTTTATAAACATTCTTATGTGTAACTATGTTAAAATTTAAACTGAGCAACTTTAATATTAAAATCACAGATTTTATAATATTGCAAAAAAATTACTGTTCTTTGATGTAATTTAGATGCAACTATTAATAAGTAAAACAAAACTTAAATCAACATACTTATATGTAGGAAAACTAAAACATTTTTTTTTTTGTAACACTAAGAACTTAAGTACAAACAAATGATTGGTTGCAAAACAATGGGATTGTGCAACAGAAATATCAAATGGAATCAATGAATGAACTAAATGAGTTACAATTCTACTTATAACAAATGTACTACAGTCTTTTGTAATGCTTATAATATAAAAAAAAAGTTTAATTAAGGTAGAAGCATGCATGCTTTAACATAAACAAACAATATATAATTTGAACTCAATTCTTGTGATAGTAACTATTTATAATTATTGTCATATTTTTAAATGACACATAATGGCTACAATTGTACATTGAAAATCCCTTATCAAAAGGGTGGTCATACATATAGTTAACCTATACTTAATAGGAAATGATTTGAGGACTTAAGTTATAATTAAATGCCTCTACCCCATGTTTTATGTCTTTAGCTGTGCCATTTATTGCCCAAAAGTTGCAAATTCATTGTGGGTAAATATTTATATATGAAGACTCTCACATTTACCACTCCTCATCGGGCTCTTGACCTTGATCAACAGTTGTGCTTGCATTGTTGAAGTTCTAAAATAATAATATTAATATTTTATAATACCTGTTTGCATCTCTATATGTACAAACCCTATTTACCTACCTCATTAACAATCGTCCTCTAAATGAAGCAATCAAATTGAGAAAATATTGAGTAACATATATAAGATATAACAAAATTTAAAGCTCTATACAAATAGAAGATATGGAATGAAGGATTGATTGACAAAAGAAATCTAACTCACAACCTCCAGAGTATTGCATTTCAGTTAATTTACTAATTAACTTACTGTGCCAAAGAATTTTCATATGTAGATCTTCTATTTTAATTCAAGCAATATTTCTTTTAGGGTAAAAACAATTGAATAAGGATAAAAAATATTTCTTACCCTAATATCGCTGCCGCCATATTTGTTGCCCTTATAGGTAGCGATACCACCACTCTGTAAGAACTCAGGTACTGGCTGTTCGGCTTGACGGAGGATCTTAGCTAGATCTGCTGCTAAAGCAATATCCTGGCAAAGACAACATCTCACTGTATACATTCCACTTTCCTCCCTCTCTTTTAGTTATTTTGCAAATGTCATAATATATGAATATACTAAGCTATATAAAGAGGGATTTGTGAATGAACAAGAATTTTATTTGTTTCTATAAAATAACTGTCAAATATATAAATTTTATTCTAAGAAAAATTTTCCTTGGTGTTATATTTACTAACTTATAATTGTTAAGGATATGGATGACAGGCAATTTGTTTTGATCTCTGCAACATATGAAATTATACTAGATGATATATTTTTTTGCAGGCAGTAACATAATGCAATATGTACTAAACACTTTACAAATTGTATCAATTAAAAATATTTCAAAGATAAACCGAATTTTTAACCTATAGTAACTAACAATTTAACTCACTTGTGATACCTACTTCTTTGTTAGTAAAGTAGAACTCCAATTATACGAATCAATGGGGACCGGGACCCATTCGGATAATAAAATATTCGGATAATCCGAGTTTTTTTTTAATTGCCATCGGAGAGAAAATAAAGTTACGTTTTGATATTGCGCTATTATTTTATTGAATTAAATGAAAGAAACATGATCTTTTCACATGTTTTAAATGTAAATAAATTGTACTTATGTACAAGTTTAGAAATAAAAATCATTGTTTTTTAAACATTTTCGTCAATGTAAGCTGTTTTGCGGTCTTAACTTGCCGTTGTGCCTACACTGATTTCGCGGAGGGAAGAATAATAGCGCACTTAGACTTTTTTTGGACAATTTTTTTTCTGAAAGTGATTCGGATAATCGGCGATTCGGATAATTGGAGTTCTACTGTAGTGCTTTTTTTTTTCTCAAGAACTTTGCATAAAACATGAATATGACTAGAGTTTTTAACAGTACAGTACACACAAGAGTTTTTAAGCAAAAAGTTCTTTATATATTATAATTCTTAGGAATAAATATATCATTTTACTCACTTGATCAGAATCATAGAACGACACAGCCTTGCCTCTGTTGCCAACGCGACCGGTCCTGCCGATTCTGTGTACATACTCGTCTATACTTTTAGGGAGGTCGTAATTCACGACTATATCGACATTTTTGATATCTAAAAAAAATATTATTAAATTTAATCTTCACATTATTCAAATTTAATATGAAGTGGGAGTCCAATATAATTTTTATCTTACCTAATCCTCTTGCAGCTACTGCAGTAGCTACTAATATACAATGCCTGCCACTTTTGAAATTATGTAAAGCTTCCTCTCTCTCTCTCTGCATTCTGTCACCATGTATAGATGATGTGAGCATCTGTTGTTCAGACAACATAGCTGCTATGAAATCCGCATTCCGCTTCGTTTCGACAAATACTAGGATGCGTTTACCATCTAGAAAATATAATTTTTTATATATCTTATATATTTTACTTACTTTGCACATCGCGCAAAATGGTTTATATTTTGTTTAGTACAAAAATTTAGGATCACCATTGTCTTCGATGAGTTTCTTTAGCGTATTTTGCTTCTCGTACTTAGTAACTTGATGGAATATTTGTTCAACATCCGTACTGGCGCCGCCGACTACTCCCACAGCCACAAATAGATAGTTATTGAGGAAACGTCCAGCCAAATGTTGAATATCTTCGGGAAATGTGGCCGAAAACATAAGGGTTTGACGCTCTGTCTGTAAATTAAATATATGTGTATTAATATTTACAACTTCAATACAAATACATATTGGTTTTGAAAGATTTCGAAATTTCTGAGGTTCAGCAAAAAACTTAGAAGATTTATTGAGAAAAGTTATAAATAAACATAGTCATGAAGTGTCTTATATACAGCTATAATCAATAGCAGTGTAAATAGTTTCTTGTATAATACTATACAAAAAAAAGAATATAATGTGTTAAAAAAATTAACAAATAACAATAAATAATTTTAAATAAAAATATTAATTGAAGAGTTCCATTAAAGTCAAGATCTTTTATGTAATTCAATTTTAATCTATACATAAAATTTTCTTATAAAGTTAATTAACGAAACTCTATTCAAATAAAAAGTCTTAAGTATACATACTCTTTTAATATTTGTCATACAATTTCTACGATAGAATATCGTATAGTAATTTTTGTGAATTTAAAAATTAGTCTAAATAATTCGTTCGCTATAGATACACATTATATGTAATATACAATTAACTTACAATGTTAACCATGGTGGGATGATCCATCATCTTTTCAACACTGGGCATAAATCCCATGTCCAACATACGATCAGCTTCGTCTAATACAACAAATCGCACGCTATCGAACGACACGCGGTTACGATCAACAAAATCGTGAAGTCTACCTGGTGTAGCTACTAGTATGTGGCAGCCGCGCTGAGGATATAAATATATATTATATTGTTTGTGTGTAAGAAGCGTCTTTAAGTTTATAGTATATGTGAAAATTAATATATTTCTTATTTTGTATTAAAATTTAATTGTAATAGGAGCATTCTTTACTCCAATAACCTTTAAAAAACCATAATTCTTTTTCTGAGCTAATATTTTTCTAATACATAATATTATAGTCCAGTTATTTTGGTGTGAAATAAGGGGTTTACCTGGAAAGTTTTCCGGGGGTTTTGAAAATTGACTTTGAAAAAGTATAACTTAATTATCATTTATTTTAGCACTCGACTTACGAAAAGTCTCCAATTCTCTTTGTTTCACTTCAATTGTTTTTTAAAACTCCCGGAATACTTTCCAGGTGAAACTACCAAATGACTGGACTAATATAACTTTTAATATATAGTAAGATAATAAATAAAATTTACTTTAAAATCAAACGAAACCAAGTCTACATCACTTTGAGTTTTGAGGCCATAAAATCATGAACAGATATACAGAAGCATAATTTAATATTTCATATTTTGAATGTTTTTCTACTTACAGCTATATTATCCCCTTGATGTCTTACAGCCGTACCGCCATAAGCCACAGCGATCTTTAAAATGGATCCGTAAGAGAATTTCCTGGCCTCATTAAATATTTGTATTGTCAATTCACGAGTAGGGGCTACTATTACAACCTGAAATAACATATTAAATTTAACAAACTTATTTCATACTTAAAATGTAAGTAAATTAATATAAAACAAACCTGGGGCTGCGCACATCCGCTTGGACTGACTACCAGTTCGCGAAGGTCTTGTAAGAGAGTATTTATAATAGGAAGTAGGAACGCCGCCTAGTAGAAAGATAATACAATTAACAATTTTTCAATCTATCGCGACATATTTGGAGGATTATGATAAAAGAAACGCTTACAGTTTTCCCAGAGCCAGTTTGAGCACAGCCCATCAAATCTCTTCCGTTCATGATGATTGGTATAGCATGTTTCTGTATTGGCGTGGGTTTTTTATATCCCGACTTCAGAATGTTGTCTAATACATAATTACGCAGATTAGCAGTTTCAAAACTCTCGATCGCTCGTGGTGGATTCTCTCCAGTCACCTGCAACAATAATTATATACATACATATTTAATGAAAACTTATTTGGTTGGGTGCTTATTTTAAATGATATGACGGTACTATGAATTTATACACTACCGCCCAAAAGTTTAGAAACAGTCTACTTTTATTAGATAAAAAAAATTACGCAAATATTTTTTTAAATTTGCACGTTCTTGTTGGAGTTAATTTATTTTTACAATAGTAACATATAACAATAAGAAAACTACTTATTTCTTATCAGGTATTCCGAACATTGATAAAAACCGGCACACCTGTTATATGACCACAAACGTTGCTGCACTGCCAATTGTTAATTTCTTAGAATTGCTAGATACAAACATTTTTTGTTTTGAAGAAATCAGTTATTTTATAAGTATATAATCCCACTAAGTATCTCGTTTAGAGTTTAGTGCACTTTGTGAGGTTCATGTGATAATTACATCAGTTGATACCTGCATAAAATGGCAAAAAGGAAACAGTTTTCTTTTGAAGAGCGAAGTGTTATTTGTAAAAGTTGGATCTACATGGGATATCGCAAAAAAAGGTTGGAGTCTCATGTAAAGGTGTACATTACACAGAAGCGAGCTACAGAAAAAAAATCGAGACAGGAAGAGATCTAAACCTCCCAAATCCACAACAAAGCAGGAAGATCAGTTTATTTAAGTGTTATCGGAACTAGATCGACGTTTATCTGCGCCACAAATTGCTGCTACTTTAAATAAAAGAAAAGAAAAGCTAGTTTGAATCACAAATAAAGGGACGTTTACTGTCTACTGGCGTAAAAGGATGCGTTGCAGCCAATAAAACAAGAATAACTATTACCCATAAGAAAAATAGACTAGAGTGGGCTAAAGCACATAAAAACTGGACGGAAGAAGACTGGTAAAAAGTAATTAAGACAGATGAGTCTAAGTTCTAAATTTTTGGATCTAATAGACTCGTTTTTGTGCGCCAATTATAAGCTAAACGGGTTTTAGAGACGTGTATTGTGCAGTCCGTTAAGCATGGTGGTGGTAGTGAAATGGTTTGGGGATGCTACGATAACAATAAGCCCGGACGTTTGATTAAAAAATACGGAAAATACTGCAAGAATATACAATTTCTTCTGCAATGCATCTGATTGGCCGAAATTTAATTTTTCAGCAAGATAACGCAATGCAACCCAAATGCATTCATCAAAATTATGTCACGAGTTCTTACAGTAAAAACAAAACGAACAATTTTTGCAAGTTGTGAAATGACCATTACAATCTCTCACCTATAGAATTAGTATGGGATGAGCTTGGTAGAAGAGTTAAAACTCGGTGTCCATCGAGCTCAGAAATTGTTGTTGCAGCATTTACAAACCGAATTCACTGGATCCCGAATAATTCGCTAAATTAACCAAAAGAATGAATAAAATTTGTGAAGCAATAACTAAAAACAAGGTTGGTCATTTTGATAAGGATAAAAAATTAAAATTATATTATTTATGCACTTAATTGTACTGAACACTTCTTTTTTAATGTTAATCTAATGTTTGATTTAGATTTCATAGTAAATCATGACTTACGTGTTTTATTGTTGTTTTTATTCCAATTACCATGGTGTTTTCAATCTTTTGGATGGTAGTGTATATCAATGTTACCACTTATAAATTACATTTTTTTTATTGTATGGAACATATTTTAACAGAGAAATACTTTTTTTTTTATTTTTTAAATTTGTACAGAGAATTGCACACATACACCAGGGAAAAGCAACATTTTCACACCATAGTAAAGAGGGTATTTTTAAAGAATAATCATAAATCCAACTAAATAAATTGATTATTTAAATTATGTATTAAAGCTAAAGCTCTTAACTAGCTCATACTAAAGATTAATAATGCAATCAAACTTTCACAATAATGGATATAAAATATATAATAATTAAGTGTAGGCATAATAATTTCATCAAAACAGAATCTTAAGGTTAAAAAAAAAGAAATTCATTGCAAAAATTATAAACTCATATAAGATTTTTTAAGACATACATATTTTCACACACATATATCAGTTTTGAATGACGTATCAATCATATCTTAAGGTCATCTGATATGACATTAAGTGTTACTTAAGAATCATCGGCTCAGAGAAAAGTATAAAAAGATAAACAAATCGAAGATACTCACTTTAACCGCAATACAATCGAACTTATCGAAATTGATGCCGGAACTGATTGTGCTGCTGAATATTTCGTCTTCATTTTCAGTTGGCTCTGGTGGCACATATGTTACGGGGGCCTTCTTATCTTCTCCAGCCTCTTCGTTTGATTCTCCCCCTTCATCTCCGGTCGGCCTGAAGCCCCGCCCACCGCGGCCCCTCCCCCTGCCACGCCCACGCTCGCCCCTCTCCTGTCTGTCCCTTTCGCCATCTCCATAGTTATCACCTTTATTAAGATTTATAGAATATAAATATGTAATATGCAACAAACAATCGCAACTTCCTTTCCAAACTCAAGCATATAGTTTTGTACAGCGATCTTTTATTTTTATTATGAATTTTTTGTTTGTGATAATGTTTTATAGTTAAAGCCATATACAGGGTGACTGGTGAATTACTATCAATATTTAAGGAGCATACTCGGTACATGATTCTCATTCGAATTATGTAAAAAAAATAGGTGCTTAATTTTTGACCAAATTTCCGTATAAATAAATAAAGTGTGTACACGTTCCAAGTGTTCCAAGTGTGAACGCGTGCGGAGGCGTGCTGATACAACAACACGCCGCCGCGCGCGTATGTGTGTGTGTACCTAATACCTAATCTGTAGGGTGTTCTTAACCAAAAGTTGTGTAATTAATTACACAACTTTTGGTTAACTTTACTGAGAAGTTTATTAATATTTATGTTATATTAATTTTTATTTTGTCATATATGATCGTCAAATATCACGTCCTCAAATATTGATAGTAATTCACCAGTCACCCTGTATTTATAAATAAAGATTCATGTTTCATTGTTAGGGGCCGTGCAAGTATTACTTAAGCAGATTTATTACAAATATTTACCCCCCTATCCCCCTTGTCAGCAAAAGTAAGCAAAGCTTTTAACCCCTCCCCCCATGCTCACGTAAACATTTTCAATTACTGTATTGTTTTTTTAAATATAAATCCATAAAAAAAATATAATTCTTTTTTTTTTATTGGATCTTCTCGATGTGATGATAAAAAAGAAAATAACTACCAATGACGTAATCAACATCTAGACTCCCCTACCCCCCATGTCATCCAAAATAAGCAAAGTAAAGACCCCCGCCCCTCCATAGTGTTTTCCCTCTATTTACAGATTTTTGTCATTGTGTATTCTACTAGTTGAAACAACAACAGTAGTTAACACACACAAAGACAATTGGAGTTATGGAATCAATCTCCTATAGATAATAGTAAACAAAATCTCACCTCCATTCTCATAGCCTCTATCTCGTCCACCCCCTCGTGTTCCTCGACCACCCCGACCACGTCCACCACGATCATAACCGCCTCCCCTACCTCTTCGTTCTTCAAAATTGTTGCTGCCCTTGTTGAAATCTTATATGAAAAGAAATCATTTATAAATAAGAATGAATACAATATAAGATAATATGATAGGTCACACTTATTATATCTTTCAAAGTTATGTCATGAAATTTAATGATGTTTCAGTCAAAATTAACCCTAAATCCTTCTGAAACACCTTAAGCAACATTCTCATACATATACATAAGATGAGCAATACTTATTGCTTTAAACTTTATGCATCACATTCAATTTGTTATTTTACTATACTAGCTGTTGTCAGTGGCTTTGGTCACATATAAAACCTACTATGAAATATGTGCTATCATCCCTATGAGTTTTTAATGGATTTCTTAAGGTGGCCAGCCTTCATCAGACCCTAACTTGGTGACAGTTAAAACTATAACAAAACAACATTTCAATAAAATGTAACTTTAAAAATTGCCTATAATTAAGGGGGTAATAGCATAACAAACATAGATTTGAATAGAAAACCTAGTCCTTTTTTAAGTCAGTTAAAAACTGTCCAAGTTACTTCTCATAAAATTACCTACCTGTGTCTGAAATTCCTGTTAAAATTTGTCCAGGCATTCTAGAGATTAGCGGAAACAAACAGATAGACAGACAAAACTTTTAAAATTGTAATTTTATATAAGTATTGCATATTTCATGTTATGTGAAAAATGTTAATTTGAAATAACAAGTGAACATTTTAATTTTATTTATTACTATACAGGCTATCATGAGGTTGTTGACAAACGATTTCTATTAAGCAATAATATTTGCCTTTTTATATACCATTGGATTCAAATTGCCTTATGATCATATTTGGTGTCCCATATAAAAAAATTATAATTTTATTATGAAATATGTAGTCCAATTATCAATTTACAGAATAGCATCAGATAGTACACATACAGTTTAATATTCCTAATACATATTTAAAGTTAAACAGACAAAAGGACAATCAACCGAAAGAAATTTGCAAAATAGTTTTCGCAGCTATTATGTTATTTAATAAAATCTTTATTAGTTTCATAATTACCACCATTGTCTTCTATAAATGTGGGGAATCCCCTTCCTCTGGACAAACTGTGACCTTCATCTACATCATAACTGCTAAAATTTTTCTGTGCTGTTGACTGATGTTGTGGTTGAACCTACAACACGAATGCAAATTATACTCACTAATAAATACCATTTTTACAGATTTAGCATAGTCAGTGTTATAACAATAGCATAGTAACGACGCCATTGGACATTGACAATAGAGAAATATCTTGGTACTTACAACATCACAGGTTTCATCCCAATCGTCATCCATTATCTGAAAAGAGAGAATTGATGTAAGACTTTATATATTTGAAAGGGTAAGAATGCCACCAACAAAGTAATTGACCCTGTATCAGTTTAGAATGATTTGTATAGAAAAATACATTTCTACCCTACAATGAAGTATATAACATAATTCATCAATATTATTCTGAAGGTCTTTTTTATTTATTCTTTCTTTATATATCGGGGTATTAAGAAAGAGAATACATTGTAAATTTTGTTCAAAAGAGGAATTGAAAATGACTAGCCGGCTTTCTTTACACAAGACTTACACGTGCTAGTCTTTATTTTCTCATATCAATACTCAATAAAAGGTATGTTTTTAATACGAGAAGTACTCACTGTATTAATAATATGATTAATGTTAAAATACTTTTTTTATATCTTATTTATAAAGTAGACAGCGCAGATGAGGATATGCCAAAAAATGGCGGCTTTTTGACGAAACGAAAAGCGACTGTAGCGACAACAGTAGATAAATAACAAAATTATCATAGGTTACAGATAATCAATATATAAAATTATTGAATAATTATGTTTTAGCTAATCACAATACACATGAACTTTTTCAGACCCTGAGCAGTTATTTTATTTTTTAATTAAAAAATATAAAAATAAGTCCCAACAATAAATTCTCAGTATAGAAAGATCGCTTTTGTACTTAATATTATATTAATTATAAAAAGGCCGATAAAAAAAATTACACGTATGGGAGATGTAAGAAAAAACTTTCATAATGAGCATGGATACTTGATATATGTATATCTTTTTTTATTTAACTAACGCGCAAATTAAAATAACTTTAGGAATTATTGATCTGGTTTATCTGTTCTATCCTTCTTGTTAAATCTATACCGTAGCATTTGTAAATAAATAGTAAAATCGATTTTATTTATTCTAATAATCGACTACGGAGTCAGTAGCTAACTTATTGTTATTATTGATTTGAAAACATATTTGTTTTATATCTTCGGAAGGCTGGCAGATTTTTTTTATTAAATAATATTTTATTAACAAAACGTAGAATATGTAAACAATTAGTTTGATTAGAATCAGAAAACCAATAGTTTTATTAGAATCACATACATACTAATTACAAACCTTAGTTAAGTTCATTTAAAATAAATACTTGCGAAGCAATCACTTGATTATTTAAATCAAGAGTGATGTAATTCAATGTATCTTGATTTCTAAATTATTTACAAGTCAATCCGTAATAATCGAGAATTTCGAGACATTTTCGTAATCGATTGGTATCAATACTATATCTCATACTCGTCTCTTGCTACTTATCGTGATATCCATCCCTTAAAGTCGGTGGTGACCTTTAGTTGGTTTATAAATAAACATAATTATATTGCATTTTTTCATTTTGATTTATTATGTGCATTATTTATCGCCACTGTAGAAAAGATGAAGGAAATGATGTTTAAGAGTTGGTGTGATGTAATGCTTACAATAAAATAGGTAGATTGTGTTATCGCTGTTGGCGTCTTGTTTTTGTGATTTGATCCAAGATAGATCATGGCAGCGTCTGAGACAGTTAAGGTATCTGTCGTCATAGATCCGACGCCAAATATTATCCCTTGCTCAACAACTTTTACTGCTGAAGAATTGTGTATAGTTCTGTGTAAGAAATATAACATTCCGCCACTGACGCGTACCCTGTTTGCATTACGGATCAAAGGCTCAGACCTTTTCCTCAAAGATAACAGCAAAGTTCTTCTGAGTTCAAGAGATTACGAATTAAGGATACGGTTCAAGGTAAATTTTGTAATAAGTTTTATTTGTGAGGAATCAGTGTTTCAAAACCAAAGTTGGGGTGATAACTTATCACAATTAGTTTTTATGAGGATGTGCATCCTCTTACAAAATTGACGCATTTTGTATTGGATCTCAGTTTGTTGAATTTTTAATAGGTACCACGACTGGGTCTGTTAATAACTTTAGATGAAACAACTTATGATTACTACTTTCAACAAGCAAGAAATGATGTTAACGAAAATAAAGTGCCTGAAATTAAGTACCCTGAAAATAAACAGGAACTTTTGGGTCTCGGCATAGCTGATATGTGAGTATGGAATTGTAAAAACATCTGTAATTTGTCCATAATCATAATATATAAATTAATAAATGCAATTGAAAAAGTATAATTAACTATTTAATAATTCAAATTAGTTAATTCTAGTTTATAACTTAATGATTCATTCATAACTTAATCAATATTAATGTCAAGAGTTCAACTAAAGATATGTTATCTTAAATTCAGTTATATTGTTCATAGTCATTATTTACATATCAATTTTATTTAAACTATTGATAATTAAATTAATGAATAAACTTATATCCATATTGTTTTAAAATAAATTTATAAATTATGAAATTAAGATTGAATTTTTATAAACAGAAATTTTATAATTTAATCCTAGGACAAGGGCAATCATAGAAGAGAAACTGCAATTAAATGATGTAGTTCGTAATCACAAGAAATATATTCCCAAAATTATAATAAGGAGACATGGTCCATATCCAAAAAAATATGCCATTGATTATCTTCCAAAACTGTGTTCCGTTGGTCACAATGTTAAGTAAGTTATTATCGAGACTTTTATTATAGGAAAAGTAATAAAATTTGCCATATAAACTCATTATAGAGCATATTATTGATTTTTTACATATTCTACATATGATAATTTTGTTTATCAAAAGCTATTACTACTTTGTATGACATAATATGATATGAAGTATTTAAAAATTATTTGACTAATTACAGAGATCATCGTAGTTATGTAATTAGTAATTGTCATATTCATCATGGATATATTTTTTATTTTAGCTATGTTAAAAATCTATATTTACAACAATTATATGGATTGGCACCAAACTATTTGGCTGAGGAGTATAACAATGTACTCTGGCAGAATGGTAGTGATGTATTGCCTGTTAAAGTTGTCGTTTCACCATTTCATCCGCACCAGCCAGGAATACGGCTCTTTAATATTACTAAAAGAGATGTAAGTATAGATAAAATAGTAGCATTAATATATTGATCGCTAAAGAAACTAAAAATTTTATGATACTGTTATGCCAAAATATATAATTTTATTTTCATTTCAAATGTTATTAAATGATAAAAAATTCATATACATTTAATTAGAAATCTCTCCGTCTTTTATTAAAATTTTCTTGTAATATGTTAATATTGTTATGTTTATCCTTCCAGTGGTTTCATGTTTGCACTATAGAGGAGTTAATATATTTGACTAGAAATGGAGATAACTGTTTGGAGATATCAAGACGAGGGACACCTTTGTTTCTAAAGTTCAAAAATGAGGAACAGTTGTCATCATTTATATCTTTATGTGATGGATACTATAGGTGAAAATAAATTCATTATACAATTTTAATTAAAATACACTGAGTAGAATGTGTTCTGTCTGTAATACTATTTAGTAGTATATTTTCAACAAAAAAATATTTAAAACTATGTTATGTGTTCCTTAAAAAGAACTATGATATAAATTAACATTGCTGTATGCACTAATGAAATTGCTTTTTTATTGATAGTTATAAATTTATAATTGAATCATGTAATACAATAATATTGGTTTGTATAATAAGATGCAATTTTTGGAACATTAGAAAATTTTAAATAAATCTGGCTGACCTTAAATTTTATAACAATTTATTGTTTATATTGATTGGTATTAAATATTAGTTTTTGTACAAAATTACTTTTATTTCTTTGATCATTCACATTATTATAATTGAAGACACCTATATATGAAATATAAGATTTTTTTTATAAAATCGTGTGTATGTATGTTTTATTGCAGATTAATGGTAAAGTGGACATTTAATTTGTCAAAGGATGATGAAACACCTTCATTAAAGGAGCTCCAGAGAATAAAGTGCCATGGGCCTGTTGGGTGAGTAATAAATTAATTTTGTTTTATGTAGTTTAAAACATTTCAATGATGAAATTTAATTTCTCAACAGAGGTGCATTTTCATATCGTAAGCTTGAAGAGAAGCGTGCAAAGAAGCATGGCTGTTACATTCTTAGGCAATGTCAGGATGATTACAATGTATATTATTTGGATGTTTGCTCCAAAAATAGGTTGGTTTTAAAAACATATATCGTATTATATCATATATTTTATATCATATGGTGTTGATTTTGGTCTAACAATATTTTTCAGTACAACTGAAACATACAAAATAGAATTCAAAGGCCACTGCTATATATTTAATAAGGAAGAATATTTTAGTATTGAAAGGTTGGTTAGTTGTCATCAAAATCCTGAAGGAAGGATATTTCTTAATGAATGCATACCACCTTCAGAATATGGTAAGAATAGTTATATGTAATTATTTTCTACGTATTAAATATAAAGCATTATCTGTGACTATAAATTTATTTGACAAACATTTTTTATAGATAAGTCTCAGTTACTGTTATGTGGTGAACCGTTAAAGAAAGGAGTTAGAATTGACCAAGCGGAGTTGCAAGAGATTTTAAAAGACAACAAAAGTCCAAGATGTCTGCCAAACAAAGATTTATTATTATATACCGGTAAATAAATATTCTAAATTATATTTTGTACCTAATTTGAAGCTCTTCCATACTTGGCAATATAGTATTCTCTATTTAATTTTATCACACAGGTTCTGAAAAAGTGGGTTCCGAAAATATAACAGCGACATACAAGGCTCTTTGGCGTCTGGATGAAACTAAAAAATTGGTTGTGGCATTTAAGACATTACAAAGAGAAAAGGCTAATGATTATTTAAAGGTACACAATATTAATTTCTATGTTTTTATATGTTTTATGTTGGATTGGTAATCGTAATTGTAAATGTTATTTTTCAGGATTTTATCGAGTTAGCAAGTAAATGGGCGTGCGTGCAATCTAGTTCTATAGTGAGGTTGTATGGTGTTACACTGAGTTCACCGACTGCTATGGTGTTAGAATACTTGCCCTATGGCCCCTTTGATGTATATCTTAGGTATAATTTATATTATTATTTATTAAACTGATAAGTTGCGAAACCTTGGGTTATACTAATAAACGTTCAACGAAATGTAATTCCATGACCATTTGTAATAAGTCTCTCAAGTATAGATGTGAGACTCATATTTTCTGTTTTTAATATAACTTACACGAAATTTTCCGACTTTGAATTATTTTACTTAAAATATATGTGTTATAAAAATAAAAGTATACTTTTAAATTATAAAAATACTATTATAAGAAATTCATAAATATGAGTACATATGTATTTTGAATTTATGAAATAATTTATTATGTTCTTTAGGGAGAATGAGGAAAATGTGAAGCCTATACATCTAAAGAAGGTAGCAGCAGGTCTGGCTCGTGCTCTATGGGATCTCTCAGAGGCTGGTATAGTACATGGAGCGATACGATGTCGCCGTTTACTACTCGCCTCTCACCATGATGACCGCATCATCGTCAAGCTCTCCGGACCGACACTCAGACAGTACTCGCCGCTCGAGTGAGTATAACGATAGTAATACGATAACTTCTTATAATCGCATTAAGTGGTACAGGGGATTTAGCACTGGAAAAAATATTTGTTTCTATTATATAGAAATTATTACATTATGTGTTAATTGTTTTTCTGTGAAATGTGAAATGAAATTTCCTTAATTAATTGTACTAATTCAGGCATTGTTTATATGTTTTTTTATATTGCGACATTGTGTTAAAATAGGTTTTGCAGTAATAATATTTATATTTTAATGATTTCAGTGTTCACTGGATGCCGGTAGAATTCTTTTCTGACATGAACTTAGCAAAGAGATCTGTATTAGGAGACATCTGGGCCTTCGCTACGACCCTGTGGCAGGTTTTCTCATACGGACACTCTCCGAATGATACAAATCCAGTTTTAACAGCAAGAGTGAGTAAAATTTTAATTTGATAGATCATTTAACATGTCTGTAAAATCTCAACTGTATGAGAGCTTACATTATCAATATTTTTATTTAATTTGAAAATAATTACAATATAATCCTCTATAATTTACATTTCCACCTTTTGTTTTCTATACTACAATCCACATTAACGAAGTATTTATTAAATCATTTTATTTATTTTTAACCAAACAGACAAAAAATATACAAGAAAAAATATATAGATAAAATTACTTCTTTAAATAAACTTACTATCAATCAATCAATCAATCAACAAATGATATCTACACCTATGTTATAAATATATTTTAATATAATTTATTACTTATCTTCAGAGCTATGAGATGGGTGACAGATTGCTTCGTCCGTCTCGTTGTCCCGGCGAGGTGTGGGCTTTAGTCAGGTCCTGTTGGCAGAGCGACCCACCAAGACCGCAGGAAATCATGAGAGATATGAATCACATGCTGCATAGAGGTATTACTATTGATACATTTATTTTTACTAATGAGATCTAATATTTTCGAGAGTAATAGTCGAGTAGAGTCGGATGTAAACGCGACTTTATTTTTGATAAAAAACTACGTACTACCGAAGGTTCGGTTATTTTTCAGCTACTGTGGTCACGGATAGACGAGATCTCATATGTATCCGAAATCTAATACATCCGAAAAATATAAGTTTCATTTAAATTTATTTCTACTGCTAAGATCTACATATAAGCATTATATTGTACGGAAAATGTTTAATATTCCAAGATTAATATTCCATGATTATTGAGGGTAGTTCTTATATTAATAGGTTGTTTTTTAACGATCCAAATAAACACAAATAGAATTACCTTTTCATAAAAAATAAGCTCAAATTCTTTAGCTAATTTTGTTGAAAAGTTGAGGTTTAATGGTTCATAATATGGGAATAAGATTTGATAGCAGTTAGTTTGCTTTCAAAGTCATTGCTAAATAAAAATAATAAGAATTTTATACTTTTATTTTCTTCTAGTTTTTAAATGAATCCCATGTTCCTTGAGAACAAATATCAAAGGAAATAATAAGGGGAAGTAATTATAGATTTGAATGTAGAAATCAATTCAATGTAATTTCATAGTAAGACAAGAAAAAACTATAATATTTTAATATTCATACAGTAAAACTATTTTATATTTTAATTAATTATAATAAAGAAAATTTATATTATGTATATTATTTCAGAATATGTTCCTCTACATGAGTATGAAGAACCAAAGATTTCATTGGACCACATGGAACATGCAGAAACAGTGTCAAGTAAATATCTAAACATTTATAATATTAAATAGGTTTTATAAAAATGTGTATTCTATTGTTTGTGAATTGTTTTATTTTGTCTTGGACAGCATATAAATTTATACAGGGTGACTGGTGAATTACTATCGATACTTGAGGACGTGATATTTGACGATCATATATGACAGAATAAAAATTAATATAACATATATATTAATAAACTTCTAAGTAAAGTTAACCAAAAGTTATGTAATTAATTACGCATCGTGTGAACACCCTACAGATTAGGTATACACACACACGCACACGCGTGGGGCGGCGTGGTGTTGTATCAGCACGCCGCCGCACGCGTCCACACTTGGAACACTTGGAACGTGTCCAGACTTTATTTATTTATACGGAAATTTGGTCAAAAATTAAGTACCTATTTTTTTTCATTATTCGAATGAGAATCATGTACCGAGTATTCTCCTTAAATATTGATAGTAATTCACCAGTCACCCTGTATATTTTATAATTATTTTTTATGAATATCCCATATATTTATAGTTAATTAATATAAAATGTATTAATGTGATTTAATTTATATTTTCATCATAGTCACATACTATATGGTCCATGAATCTTCATATTAATTTTAATAATATATATTGTGTTTCAGGTGATCGATTCATTCCCAGTGAGCTGAGTGACGCCGGCAGTAATAAGTCGTTGATATCAGTAGACAGCAGCTTACCTTCAACCAACGGGACAGTATCGGATTCATATGATAATCCAGTTAGTGTTGTAACTATTATTATTGCCAGTAAAAAGTATTATTGCCAGTATTGCCACTATTATTATTGCTAGTAAAAAGTATTATTTTTTTAATAGTTATTTTATTACAGTGATAATATGCTTTTATTTTTTTATTTAAATCATAAGTTACGTGTAACAGTATTTTTAGTGTTTCCATGATCATGAATCATATGAAGCATGAAAATTATAGAAAGAGACAATTGTCCTTATTTAATTATTTCTAGTTTTGCTATTTACGCATCACCGTTTTATAAATAAAATTTTAAAATGGTTTGGATTTGTCTATATTCTGCAATTTATGAAATTACTAGCTGCGCCCCGCGGTGTTACCCGCGGATTTCCGGGATGTAAAGTAGCCTATGTGTTATTCCTGGACGTCAGCTTCCTGTATACAAAATTTTATCAAAATCGGTTCAGCCGTTTGAGCGTGAAGAAGTAACAAACATACAGACACACTCACAAACTTTCGCAATTATAATATTAGTAGGATAATAAGAAGAAGAGGATAGGTTCATGTATATATCATCAACAAAGTAGTGGGTATATTGCATTTTTTAAAATATCTTCATCACTTCACCAGTTCGCTGACAACAAGAGTTCTAACTCGTTGGAATCAATGAACGCATTGACTTACGCACTGCGGTCGGAGGCTGTGATCAGCCGTAGCAACAGTGCGTGTGGACCCGACGAGCCAGACGATGGTGCGGGCGCGCCAAGACTTATGGAGTCCATCGTGTCCCAGGGGAAGACATATCTTGTTACCATAACAAAGAAAATAGGAAGTGTGAGTGTTTATTATCATATATGTACTAATGTTTAAATTAAAAACACTACACCAACTGGACTACCGCTTTCCAACCAAAGAACTTTACAAGAAAACTGATACACTATCTATAGCACAATTATACAAATACAAAATATGCATACTTATAAGAAAAATTCTCTCAGGATCTATACACACACAAACTACTTTTAAGACTAAATCTCATAAATACTATACACGAAATATGTATACATAAATTACAAATACCTAAGTCTAGAACTAAACATTATTGTAACAAAACTATATACAATTTGAGGGAGTGCTAATGTACAAAAATCTACAGAAAGAAATATTTAACGAAAAATCTTTTTTGAAATTTAAGGCTAAATTAAAAACATACTGTAAAACTATATAATTATATTTGAATGTTTGTATAAATAAGGTCACCATTAACTTTATAAATGTTTATTATTATGTTACTAGTTAAAGTTTCTTATGTAAGTGAACTTTGTTCTTAATGGGAAATAAATCATCTCTCTAAATTAAAGACGATATTAGATTGTAGTAAGTACGCTATAGTGTATGGTAAAGGCGATTGAAATAAATAATACCCAAGTAGTAGGTTCGAATTGTAATCGTATTGATTAATTGTTTCCTTCTATACTTTTTATTTGAATTTCTATGTATGAATGTGTTAAGGGTGTCTGACGTATTAAACAATATTTTTTGTTTAAAAATTGGGATAGTTAGATATTATAAATAAAAGTTAATAATTGTGTATGTAAATAAAAGGGCAATTACGGACACGTCTTCAAAGGCTGGATGGAACGTGACAATCAAGAATCTCAAAGAAAAGAAGTTGCTGTTAAGAAATTAACTCGACAAGCTTCGGAAAGAAATGGAAGCCTTTATGAGGATTTTAAAAATGAGCTAGAAATTATGAAGGTGAATAATTAATTTAATTATTATTTAAAAAAAATATTACTACAAAAATATTGATTTGTTTTGTAAACTGAGTGTAGATGAAAGTCTACCAAATGATCTTATATACATATTTAATGATATTAATCTTTTAAGGGTCCTCCTAATATTTTTATAACATTTTTCCAGTCCCTACAACACATCAACATAGTAGAGATCCTCGGTTATTCTTGGGATCATAGTTCAGATGTGCTCATAGTCATGGAATATTTAGAGGAAGGTTCACTTAACTACTACCTCAAGTTCCAAGGAGATAAGCTGAGAATATCACATCTTTTGAAATATGCCAAAGATATTGCTACGGTGAGGAAATTTTTAATTTAAATTTTTAGTATGTGAAAGTATAAGTAACTTTATTTGTAATGCAAAACTTTTATTTGTGATTCGGTAATATGACAAGACTTTATAGTATAAAAAAAAGTTTTGCTTCAAATATATAGATATATACTCAACAAAACGTCGGGGATAGTATAAATCTGCGTAATTACATTGGTAATAAATTAAACACTAAATACTTACTGGTTATGAAAAAAATACATAAAAAATCATTAATATCGAAAATACTTTCAACTCAAACTTTCTTCTGATAATCTGCTGTCAATGTAGATACGCGGAATTATCCAATGGTAGTTACGCGGATGTGCACTATCCTCGACGAAAACCAATAATGTTATATTTATACTCTATTTAAGTATGTTATGGAAGTCCTAGTTTTAATAATTGTCTTTTTTAGTATTGGGTTCATAATATTCTCATAAAAAATTTTGTGAATAGAGTTTTTTATTTTAATAAATTATAGTAAATTAAATTAATAATTGGTTATTGTTTTCTTAGGGTATGGATCACGTGTCAGCGAAGAACGTTGTTCATAGAGATCTAGCTACAAGGAACATTCTAGTTGTGAACAAATATCATGTGAAGATATCAGATTTTGGCTTAGCCAGGATCATACCTAAGGAGGAGAGTGCATACAGAATTAAGACGGAGCGCCTTTTACCTATCAATTGGTAATTGCCATAGTTCTATAAAATATTAGCTTATCGCCCGCAGCTTCGCCTGCGTGGATTTCGGTTATAGCGCGTTTCCAGAAGAACCTTTCAAAAGTCTGGGATAAAAACTATCCTATGTTTTTTCTCAAGGTCAACTCTATCTCTGTACCAAATTTCATTTAAATCAGTTCAGTGGTTTAGGCGTGAAAGCGTAACAGACAGACAGACAGAGTCACTTTCGCATTTATAATATTATAGTAGGGATTAGTCCCTACTAATATATAATATTGTTATTATAATTCATATAACTATTTCATATATTTATAGTACATTCCTATAATTTTTCACCATCAGCTGTAGCGCCATTGTTCTAGTTATAACAAACAGCTCATTGTATATGACATATGTATGTATCTCAATATATACATATCTCATCAAGGTTATATATCGATACCTCCCACTTTACAGTAGAGCGTTTCAAAGATTCAAATTAAATCAAAATCTGCATTTATTGATGCATCATTTTAAATTTTCGTATTTAAATTTAACATAATAGTCTTCTTAACTACGTTAAAAGATATTTTAAGTAATATGTATGTCTACTATTTGCGGAGATATTGTTGTTATATTGTTCATACAACACTTTACTCCGTAGAAGAAGCTATAAAAGTTGTTGCATCTGATACTAACAACATTATACCGCGGCGCCCAGATAGCATCACTTGTGATATATGATAGTTAAAACTAGTATGATGGTTAAAAGTATACGTTGAAAAACATAAGTCTTACTCTGTTGTATGTAACCAAAACGCGGCGCGAGCGCGTGATTTTACCCGACCCGCGCCGCGCGTAAACAATTATATAGGCATATACATCAGTGTAATCCGTTTGCGTTTGAAAATTACAACATTATGCGTCTGACGAATCCTTTAAATATAGTGTTTTGTTGCTTTTTTACTTTGAATGATCCATAATAGGATATTTTTCAGAAAAAAAGCAAAATAGCATTTTTGTGGCATACAACAACTTTCGTGGGAGGTTTCGATATATTTGTTGTTTGTATGTAGTTATTATTTATTATGTATTATGTCAGGTATGCTCCGGAATCAGCAGTAGAGCCGTGGCATTTCTCAAGTAAGAGTGATGTGTGGTCGTACGGTGTTACAGCCTGGGAGATATTCACACGGGCTAGGACCGAAGTGCCCAAGTTCGATGTGGAAAGACCCAGGGAAAGGGCGTCGTGGTATGTTTCCTATTTGAATTTAATATGTTTAGAAAATATTATAACTTATATAAAATTCATGAAAATGAGTAAGATTTGGCCTTATTACAATCGCCAAATATTGTTTTTTGGTGACTATATTCTAATTCTGTCAGTGAAAACGAATTATATGTTCTATACATTCTAATTGAACTTTATTTCAACCATAAAAATCTAATATACATTTTATTTTCAATTGTACTAAGCTATGTAATTGTGATGTTAAACTTGTAAATTTTTGAACATACATAAAAAGTGTTCGAAAAAAATATTTTGTTTTTTTTGTTTGCAAAAAACAATGTTAACTCTCAACATATATTGTTCCAGTTTTCAAATACCAGAAGGTTGTCCATCGGAGATATTCAGACATCTGATGAAAGAATGCTGGGCCCTAGACCCGAATTTACGTCCCAAGTTCATTGACCTCGTGCATATGTGCAAGCGATTTATGGATGAATACCAGTGAATATTATGCATCAGTAGCTTGGAATTGTTGACTATTTATTGTATCGCATGCGAATTGAATATTATAACATAACCTATACTAGATCACGTGGTAATGTGTAATTTAAGTATGAATTAATTTCGAATGTCTTGAATTTTTTATCCGTGAGTAGATATTTAATGAAATCAATGTATTAGCTCAAGTATCAATCCACTAGTTGCTCGTGCGCACAGACTTGTTTGATGGTTCCTTCAAGCATTTGCCTTAGTTATTTTTTTTATGTAAATATTTGTTATTTAAATGCAATCATGTTACATACACCTTGCAATGACTTCATCATAAGATTATTGCTAAGTATCTATTATAATATACATAATTTAATTTTAACATCATATTATATAATACATATACTTGCCCAGTAGAATGTTATTGTGAGATTTAAGTCAATTCTAGCTTTTTAAGTGATAGATTTTTTTACTATTATATAAATGTTGCACGCTATAAATTTTTGGACTATTAATTTATTGTAATCTGTGAAGCATTTTGTTGCAATATTTCTTTTTTAATTAAAAATATCAAGTCAATTATGTATTTACAAATAATTAGTTAGAAAATAATACGTAATTAATCGTTCAATAATATAGCGTGCTCTATTGTGAAGACCAAAGATATTAAATTATCATTTAATATTGTTATCGTAATTTTTTTTTAAGTTAAAATTTAAATTTATGTATGACGGCTCAGTTGAGACTTGAGTGATAGTTTTTATGTTTGACGTAAGAGTTGTTAATGCTTTAGAGTTTGACAAGAAGGTTTAATTACAAGAAAAATATGGATTAACCTTGAAAATGTGAAATATATGCCTGATTTATTAATTCTATGAAATTTTTCGAATATCTATTGATTTTTTTTTATTTGATTGAAGCAATTGTGATCGATGATAGACTGAGTATGAAGTAAATGGGTGCTAAAATGAAGGGAATGGATATTGCTAGTGTTTTAACAGGTTTTTTGTAACATCGAATTCTTTAAAAATCTTTTTTAGGGGCGTTATATAAGACTATCATCTGTATCATTGTTTTGATTTAATTACATACAAACGAGTGAATTATACATTTGTATATAAGTTGCATTGAAATTAGAATTTACGGATATGTTATTATTGTAAGGTTGTTAAAGTGTTTTGCTTAAAGCTAGTTGAAATGAGCGAAGTTTTTTGATATTTATATTATATAATATTCCGACCAATTGAAATCATGTCCGACGATATACAATTTGTAATTTTAATTTATTATACGTATAATTTTAATCAGATTTTTGTACATGTTTTTTATACAAGCAATAGTTGAATAATTATTTTTATACACAATTATGCAAAGAGCCATATATATTAATGTTTATCACGATGTAGTTTGGGAAGCTTGGAATAAAAAAATATTTGTCATCAGCAAACAATAAGGCTTAATGATGAATTTATAATAAAAAAAATTAATATCTCAAGTTATAAGATTAGGTTTCTAACAATGATTAAACTGACGCTGTGATAAAAACAAAATATTTCATAAAGTAAACAGAAGTACAGTTACCAACGGAATTATGATTTTTATAACAATATCATTGACTGTTTTAGAGGACTTATGAAATACATCGAGTCAACTGAGAAAAAAATTCTCAGCTAATTAAAGATGGCGCCACTATAAAGTGGGCGTCAACTTAATCGATCTCAGGCTTATATTTGTTATAAATAGATTTTGTTCTCGATTCACGTACTCAGTCTTCTAATATATTATATATGTTAAATTTCCATTAATATATTATATATATGTAAATAATTACGAGTGTTTTGCATGCGTGGTATTCGATGTATATATAATTGTTTATAAAAATACATGTTAATTATAAGAATCGTATCTACTATTACGATCTGATGTTACTTCGTTTGATGAAAAGTTTATGTGTTTCTTAAAACAGGTTTTTTTATGTTTCTAACTGATTAATATTTTAATACTACCTCACAGTTCACGGTATCTATTTATACACGCATACTTTTCATTGAACGAAGCGAATGTCAGTTTTATTTGCCATACATTTAAATAAACATTTGGATATTATGTCGTGTTTTGTTGTTAATCCCTCGAGACAGTATGTGGTTGTATCAAATAGATTACAAATGATCTTCAGACCTATTTGATCTGTATATATATTTGGTTTTGAATTTCCAAGGAGCCGTCAAATAGAGTTACAAATGATTAAGGTCGTTAATTCGCGATTATATTAATCACTCGACTATTGATCGATGAAATAGTCTTATAAAGGAAATAAGGCGTATTTCAGTTTCAATTATTCTATAATCTGAGTTTAGATGTTTATAAAACCAGTGCAAAATATATGCAAAACGTAATAAGGTGAGTAAAACCCTCATGTGAATGAAGCTTCCCGCTGTCAGTGCATTTTCAATGGATCCGTATTTTAAAACTACTTCAGAAAATAATTGGTTATCATTTTAACTCAATATTATTTTATCATTTGGACATAATAATTATTTCCTTTATAACTTTTATACAGCTCTTCATACAATATTCGTAATTATTTTTTATTTTCGTCTTATTTCTAAGTGTAGTCCTTTTTTTTCTTTATTTAAATTACTATTTTCGACCAAGAAGCTTGGATTTCGTAATGTTGTTTTCATCTACATGTAACTTCTTACATATCGTTATAGGAAATAGTAAAATATATATCAGGATTTTATACAAAAATTTAAATGAATTTTTTTGAAAATATTTCTTTCCATTCTTATTAAAATCGTTTGACATTAGAAAGGTTCGTGAAAATGTGTTGTTTTCGTTAAAGGTCCAATACAGAAGGACCCTTAGGATTTGCTTTGATGGCGCATTTTATAAGTATCTATTCTTTGAAAAGATCAAAGATATAGAAATGACTGCTACACTCCGTTGCGAACCACTTTTGTTTACGAGGTCTCCCGAAAAATATTGGTATTACATAAATTTGTGTTTGAAGAACACTTACATTGAGTTATATTGTAGATAAATATTTGTAAAGCCACATTTGAATGCAGCTACATAAAATATAAATTAAAAAACCACATTTATTAGTACAGAAGATCTGTCTTGAATTTTTCTATCAAATTGCCTAACAACCTTGAATTGGAATTGAATTGTTTGTATCTGTTTTCAAAGGATTCGTAAGCTTTGTTCTGGTATGAATTAATTACAAACAACATAGATTAATTGCTTACATTAATTTACAATTTCTAATCACTATGTTAACAACCGATAGCTAAGTAACAAAATAAATAATATATCACAACTACGTTTTTAATCAAATAACGTTATACCAAACGCCTACGCCATTATAAGTCGTTTCAAATTAAAAAATATAATAATACATCGTATATAAGATTTTGAGACAAGTGTGGGTAAAATATTTATTAAGAGATCATAAAAATTTATCTAATTTTATTTTTGCTTGATATAAATAAAAACTATTTTGATTAGCAACAACAATTTTTGTTGATTCAATGTTCGTTTGACGTAAATGCAATATAGATTTTAAGTTGATCGAGTCGGGATGGTGTGCCGTCCTCACCTTTTGCGAGGCAGCGATGTTCGCAAAGGAGGTAGCGGAAAGGGAGAGAGAGGTTGCCTTCTCTCCCCTCCTGCAGCAGAAGCATTGGTTGCCGTATCGTGACCGATTTCCGGCCTGTGTACGACAGATTCGGGACATCTTGTCATCCGATAACAGCTGCAGGCTTCAAGAGGAAGGTGGGTGTTCCGCGATCACCTCATAGTTGAGTCTTGTGGCCGGGTGCCACAGAGTGGTTGACGGGGCCCGCCTGACCATCTGGTGGCCAATGCCTGTCGGGGTAGCGATGAATGCTTTCATGATACCTGCCCCTCCGACACACGGGTACATGAGAAACACGACACGGGTTGGTTTTCTGTCAGTAAGAGTTTGACAGTGCCCTTCGCTCTTCCCCGGGGCGGCGGGGCTCCGTGAGGATGTTCCCAACCCAACACCAAATTATATAATATATAGGTTTTAAGTTAACATTTTGTGTCAAAAATACTGAGTTATTGAAAATAAATCATCGTTTAAAATAAAACCTATATGTTACCTAACATATTATACGAGTAGTATCATTTCTAAATAACTGGCTTTTTAAATAATATACATTCCATAAAATGAATAACGTACATTCGTTAGTAATTGTGAATAAGTTATAACTTATAAGTATATCTGCTATAATAATTTTTTATAATCTTTATTTCATTATGAAAAAACTGAAATATTATCAAAGCTTAAGACTTAAAACATGTATACCTACTAACATAATTAAATTTTACTATAAAATATATTTTTTTTAAAGCTCGCGTTTTATTGAATATTTTATTTTTTAAATTCCTACGTTGTTCCACACAAAAAATGCTATTATTATATTCGTCATCAGCCTATCACAGCCCACTGCTGAGCAAGGCTTATGTTCACATGGAGAAGTTTTATCTATACTAATATTATAAAGCTGAAGAGTTTGTTTGTTTGTTTGTTTGAAAGCGCTAATCTCCGAAACTACGGGTTCGAATTGAATAATTACTTTGTGTTGGATAGTCCAGTTATCGAGGAAGGCTGTAGGCTATATAACATCACGCTACGACCAATAGAAGCAAAGATAAAGTGGTAAATGTGTAAAAAACGGGAGAAATTATTTCATCTTCGAAGCCTTCCGTTGCGTGCACCGTGAAAACGGTTCCACAAAAAATATGTATCAAAGAATAATAGCTCTTTTAACGATCTAAAAAACAGTCTGCGACAGTATATGTCTATCTTTTAAGATTAACTCACAAAAACCGTTTTTATAGTACCTAATTTGGTCGAAATAATTTGTTTAAGTTGTATCAACATAATAATATTAATGTTTATTCAAATAAATAAAATAAATATGTTGTTGGTTAAGAGTACTTTTTTGTGAATTAAAAAAAAACATAGGTTTTATACTGAAAATT